TGCCCATATAGGAAAATCCTTGCTGTTGAACTTAGGAAGGTGAAGCTTGGGCATCAAGGGAGTGAGTGATAAGTATGTTGTGAAAACTAGAATGAGAGAATGGATGAACTATGAAAGAGTTGGGTACAAGTACTAACCCTAATTGGGTTGTACCCCATATGGGCTACCCCACTACAGCCAACACAAAAGCACAAGCTATAATGTTCTGACACACCCCCATAGGCAAAGTGGGGGACAACAAGGGGTCACAAGACCAGTAAAGCAAAGCAAAGCAAAGCAAGCTCAGGGTGGATCACAAAGTCACCACACATTCCGAGCACAAGTTCAAGGCCACAAGGCCACTTCACATGCAGGAGTACATATATATATATAGAAGGCTAGACAAGCAAGAGCAGGTATATATGTATGTAACAGTACAAGCAAGGTCAAGAGGTGAGCAAGTGAGGCAAGACAGGCACAAGACCAAGCTGAAGACAGAAACGCTGATGATGACAAGGCGCAAGCGCCTTGGTGAAGATATCAGCAGTGTTGGCCTCCGAGGCCACGTACGCAAGACGCAGCTGACCACGCTGCTCCAGCTCACGAGCAAGGAAGTAGTGAAGAGCAATGTGCTTCATTCTGTGCTCCAGTCTCTGCTCTCGACACAAGGCCAGCATGGCCTTGTTGTCTACGTACAGTACTGGAGGAGAACGATGCGGCTCTCCGAGGTCAGTCAGCAGGTAGGTGAGCCAGCGAAGCTCATGCGCAGCCATGGCCCCGGCGTAGATCTCAGCCTCACAACTGGAGCCGAGAACAGAAGACGAGCGGGTAGCCCGACACGAAACAGAGCCGGAACCAAGGCTGAAGGTGTAACCCTGTGATGACCGCTGCGTAGCCTGATCGTCAGCCCAAGAAGCGTCTGCGTGCCCAGTGAGGACCATTGGACTCCGCCCTCCAAGCACAAGCCCCATGCCCGACGTACTGCACAAGTAGCGCAACACCCTCTTCGCTGCAGCCATGTGCTCCGCTCTGTGTCTTCCAGGAGCAAAATAACGTGCCAAGATGCTAAGAGGGTATGCAAGGTCAGGTCGAGTGCAGGTCATCAGGTACATGAGGCAGCCAACAAGCTTTGGGTACGGGCCACTCGACTCTACGGACTCATCCGAAGGCAGAGCTGAGAGCGAGTGGCGAGTAGGTAGAGGAGTGGCCTGAGGCGAGGAGTACGTGAAGCCGAAGCGCTGAAGGACCTGCTGCACCATGTGTGACTGAGTCAGGGTAATGGTGCGGCGTGCTCTGTCCCGGGTGATCTGCAAGCCAAGGTAGCTGCGCAGTTCACCCAGGTCTGTGCACGTGTGTCTCTTCTGCAGCCCAGACTTCACGTGGGCGAGTCCAGCAGTGTCAGCTATGGCAAAGACCAAGTCGTCGACGTACACAAGGATGTAGAACGGCGGCAAAGAGGTGTCGGTGCGCAGAAACAGCGACGGGTCGGCAGTAGAGGGAGCAAACCCAAGAGCCGCAACCGTAGTCCTCAGTGTGTCGTGCCACTCACGCGGTGCCTGACGGAGACCAAAGAGTGGCCGCCGGAGGCTCCATTGGGTGCTAGGAGGAAAAGTCCCAGTGAAGCCAAGTGAGTGGCGCAGCCAGATCTCCTCGTGCAGACTACCCTACGAGAAAGCAGTGCTGAACTCAAGAGAGTGAAGCTCGTAGTCGCGCTTAGTGGCTTTGTGCAGCAGCACCCGAAGAGTGGTCATCTTGAGGGTGGGAGAGAAGGTCTGAAATTTGTCAACTCCCTGCCGCTGACTGAAGCCACGAGCCACGTACCGCGCCTTGAAGACAGGCGGGGAACCCGGAGGCCGCTTCACCCTGAAAATCCATATGCCACTGACGATGTTCGCTCCACGTGGGGGAACCTCGTCAACGTAGGTGCCTGTGGACTTCCAGGAAGCCATCTCTGCGTCCATAGCTGCCTGCCACTGAGAGGAGTAGGGACCCTCTATCGCCTCCACGTAAGAGCGCGGAGTCGGGATGTCAAGTGCATCCGGGTCTCCCTCAGGAGTAAGCAGTACGGACACGAGATGAGGTGAAGCAGCAGCCAGACACTGGAACTCCTCCTGCCTGTCCTCAAGGACGTCCGTGCCAAGGGCACACTCACCCCCGACGGACGGAGGACAGACAGACTCGGACTCAGCGACAAGACTAGCAGCGTAGTCTAGACGACAGCGAGCAGCAAAGTCGACGAGCTCAGCAACTAGGGCAGACGCAGCAGTGGACTCAAAGGAAGGGTCAGTGACGTCAGTAGCAAGGAGATGCGTGACAGTAGGACTGGCAGCACAAAGAGAGTCCGACTCCGCGTCGGCAAGAGCAGGAAGAGAGGACTCAAGAGGAGAAGGCAACGGGGCACGAAGAGGAGCAGTGGACGGACGTAGATACATCCGGTGCGTGCCAGGGACAGGAGGAGGACGCTGACACGTACCACAACCACTAGTGCGAGCAGCACGGACAGGTGACGCAGGGCGAGACGCAGGCTCACGACGCTCAGCAAGACCTCCAGTAGGACCAGTGTAGGGAGAAGGAGCAGGCAGTGGGGAGGCAGGCTGTAACTGTAACTGTGACAGGACAGGCTGTGGACACTCTAAGGGAGGAGGAGGACCAGTAGAAGGCGGGAGACAAAGAACCTGCTGAAGGAGCGGAACGAAGTACGGCCGAGGCCACTCAGTGACTCCAGACACAGCAGGGACAGCACCAGTACCCCCAGCGGCAGCACCAGCGCCAGCAGCACCTCCAGCTCCAGTACCTCCAGCAACACCTCCGCCAGGACCGACAGCAGAATTCTTAGCGCCAACACCCTCAGCAGTTCCAGCTCCAGACGCACCCGCCGGCCCAGCAGCTCCAGTACCTCCAGTGCGAGCACCTCCGGGACCCGCGGCACCAGCACCCTCAGCAATCGAAGAAGCTCCAGCTCCAGCAGTACGCCTCCAGCGCTGGGCAAACCACTCGCGCAGCTAATGTGGAGAGAGTGGCTCCCGCCAAGACGAAGCACCCGGAGAACCTCTTGGCCCAGCACCGCCGGACGCCTCACAAGCAGGCCCAGCTCCCTCAGGCTCCACACCCCCAGGCTCAGCACCTCCAGACATAGCACCCCCAGGCTCAGCACCCCCAAGCGTAGCACCCCAAGGCTCAGCAACCCCAGGGTCAGCACCCCCAGTCGCAGCACCCCCAGTCTCAGTACCCCCAAGCTCAGCACCCCCAGTCTCAGTACCCCCAGGCGTAGCACTCACACGCTCAGCACCCTCAGAGTCAGCACCCCCAGGCTCAGCACCCTCATCAGCACCAGAGTCACCAGTGACCTCGACACGCTCGACTGCATCTACCTGGGACACACCTGAAGGGGCCAGACCCTGAGGGGGGAGGGGGTCTACCGGGGGGGAACCTGGTACAAGGAGGAGCGGCGGCGGGGGGAGGGACGGAGTGCGGTAGGGGAAGAGGCGGTAGTAGGGGACCGACTCGTCAAACATGACGTCCTGGGAGGACAGAACACGGCGAGAGGTGGGGTGGTAGAACTACCACCCTGGCGCGTCAGGGGGGAAACCCAGGAAGACGCAAGGAGTAGCATGAGGGGACAGCTTGTCCGCAGACAAGTCGCGGACAAACGCCCGAGATCCCCAGACACGGAACGCAGACGCATCGCCAACCTTCCTCGTCCACAGCAAGGCTGGGGAGGTCTCAGGCATGGAGACCCTGGGGTGAAGGTTGATCTGATGCGCCGCGTACCGAACCGCAAACGGCTACAGAAAATGGGGGGCAGCCGCATGCATCATGGACGTACGGGCGACGTCCATGACCATGCCAATGCGGCGCTCAGCAATCCCATTTTGCTGTAGAGAGTCGAGAAGCGTGAAGGTCTAGCGGATGCCTCATGCACGATAGTAGGCTCGTAGAAGGCTAGAGGAGAAATCTCCGCCTCTGTCAGAGTGCAGACGCAGAACAGGAAAGTTTGAGCCGAAGCTCTGCCTGAGCTGGAGACGAGCTGCGCGGATCCAGTCGATCAACACCTCAGTGACATCACCCTTGCTGCGCAAGGGGAAGACTGTGGTGTAACACGAGTAGTCGTCAACCACCAACAGGAAGTAGTGCTCGTGACCCAGTCCACGGACCCGGGCGGGGTCCCACACGTCCAGGTGAAGCGTCTGCAGCGGGCCTCTCATGGAGGAAACTGGGAGGAGTGAGGGGCAGCACGCTGCCGCCCCTCAACACAGGGGACGCAGATAGGGCCAGGCCCCGGAGGAAGGGGAGGGAGGGACCGGGGAAGACCAGAGACAAGGACACGGGAGGCCATGCCTCGGAGACGAAGCAGGGAGGGGTGACCAAGGCGGTGGTGCAAGAGGAGAGTCTCGTGAGACAGGAGGCGACACGAGCAGGGGGCAGACTCAGGACCAGACCTGGACGCTGCAGCAAACACCTGACCCAACGCAGCTACTTGACCAGACGCAGGGAAAGGAGGAGACGCAGTGGTCAGTGTGTACAGGCTCGATGCCGGCCGACGAGTAAACGTGGCCAAGTGTCGGCCCGTCCGAGCGTCCGTGCAGTGGGTCACCCGCTGGCTTGCAGGAGTGAACTGGTGAACTCCCCCATCCTGTAGGTCAGCACCACTCATCAAGTTCGTAGAGAACGAGGGGAGGTAAAGACCAGATAGGGTGCCAGTGGGAGCCGTCGGACACGGGAAGACTGTGGAGAAGTGAGTAAGGACAGGACCCCCAGAGGGGTCTGCCATAGAGACTGCAACTTGCCGGCCAAGCACCTGCACCTGAGGAAACAGACGCACTAGCACCGAGAGCAGCAGCCTCGCTAGCACCTAGAGCAGCAGCCTCACCAGTACCTAGAGCAGCAGTCTCAATGCCCGGGTCGGGCGGGAAACACCGATAACAGTCACCCTCATCACTAATGGTCACAGCATACATAGCAGCAAGAATAGCATCAAAGTCAAGGTCAAAGATAGCTACTCTCGCCCTAGACACCTCACCCTAGCAGGGGATCTCTGTGGCCTCCGATAACTGGTGACGCCAAGCCTCCGTCAGGCGGCCAAAGCAGCGCTGGGTGGAGTGCGCACCCCCGCACTGCTCACCCGCGCGGTCACCGGTGCGTAGGATGTAGATGCACGGACCAGTACCCCCACCCCGCTGGCGTGCAACGTACCACTCACGGAGCTGCTGAGGGTGGGGGATGTCACGAGTGCGCTGCTGCTGCTGCTGGCGCTGACCACCACCGGAGCTGACCCTCTGCGCAGCGCCACCCCAACCAGCTCCACCTCCTCCGCCGCTGCCTCCTCCACCGCCGCCACCACCGCCACCTCCGCTCCCACCACCACCGCCGCTCCCACCGCCATCGCCACCGCCGCCTCCGCCTTTACTGCCGCCACCGACACCTCCACCCCCGCCACCACCCCCACCGCCACCCCCACTCCCTCCACCGCCTCCACCGCCGCCTCCACCGCCCCCGCTAGCTCCTCCAGCGCCCGTGCCCCCCTTGCCCTTGCCAAGGCGGCGTCTCCCGCTAGGGGTAGACACCGCACCGACCGACTCAAGCCCAACGAGGTCGGCCGCAGCAGCAGAGGAAACAGAGGGCAAAAGGGGGGAGGGGGAACACCCCTCAAAGATGGGGGTGCGCGGGTCACCACGGGAGGCTCCTACAGCGACTATGCTCTTCTCTGCTGCTAGGAGGGCCTTCTCGAGGAGGTCAACGGTGAGAGTGGTGGGACAAACTGAGAGGAAGTGGTCCCTGACTATGCGAAGGGAGTCAGGGAGGCGGGTGACTATGTAGTAGATAGTGATGTACACGGGGGGGGGGGGGGTTCTTGGCGCAGAACCTTGCAGGAAGCGCAGCGCGGTAGCGAGTGTCACTAGTGCGGAGGTGCGTAATGAGGTCAGCGACTGTGGGAAAGGCAGCAAGGTCAGGGAAGAGGTACGGTAGCATGAGGCGGCTCAGTGCAGCAGTGGCAGGGGAGGAGTAGCGCGCAACTACAGCCTCGTATAAGGTCTGAGCACTCTTGTACTGGCTAAAGTGCGCACGCTCAGAGGTAGGCATGTGGCGACGCACAGCAAGACGTGTAGCAGCATCGCGCGTGGCCCACTGTGAGCAAACAGTGGCATCAGCATCAGCAACAGGGGCAGGAGAGGCACTGGAGGTGAGGTCAAAGAGAGAGAGACCGTCTGCCCATCGCACTGTAAGAAAAGCTGCAGGTCATCTATCCAGACGTCAAAATCAATGGCCCGATCCTCAGCGTCAAAAGCAAGGACACTAGGGGTAGCCATGACAGCAGTACACTAGCAGCGCGAACAGTAGGGTGAGGGCAGTGTAGTGACAGAGGCGCTGCTCTTACCGGACAGGGCGGCTCGGGCGGCTCGGCTGCAGGGCGACTCGGCGGCTCGGCAGCTGGGCGGCTCGGCGGCTCGGCTGCTGGGCGGCTCGGCGGCTCGGCTGCTGGGCGGCTCGGCGGCCCGGCTGCTGAGCGGCTCGGCGGCTGGGCGGCTTGGCTGTTGGGCGGCTCGGCGGTTGGGCGGCTCGGCTGCTGGGCGGCTCGGCTGCTGGGCGGTCCGGCGGGGCCGCAAAGAAGGCGGCGGAATGGCCGCTGAGAGGGCGGCGTCTGGGGCCGCTGAGATGAGGCGGCAGGGTCGCTGAGAGGAGGCGGCGAGGCCGCTGAGAGGAGGTGGCGGGGCCGCTGAAAGGGCGGCGGTGGGGCCATGAGAGGGCGGCGACGAGGCCGCTTCCGGGGCGGCGGAAGGGCCGCTGAAAGGAGGTGGCGGGGCCGCTGAAAGGGCGGCGACGAGGCTCCTGCAGGTGCAGTGGTGGGGCCGCTGAGAAGGGCGGCGACGGGCCGCTGCAAGGGTGGCGACGGGGCCGCTCAAGAGGGCGGCGACAGGGCCGCTGGAAGGGCGGCTTCGGGGCCATGCAAGGGCGGCGACGGGGCTGCTGGTGAAAGGGCGGCAAGGGGCCGTAGGGGGAGAGCGGCGACTGGCCGCGAAGGGCGGCGAATCGAGGCCGTAAGGGCGGCGAATCGGGGCCGCAAGAGGCCGCTAAGGGGCCGTGAGGGCGGCTAGGGCGGCGCGACGCGGCCGTTAGGGCGGCGCGACGCGGCCGCTAGGGCAGCGCGACGGGGCCGCGAGGGGCTGCTAAGGGGCCTAAGGGGCCGTGAGAGCGGTGCGACGGGTCCGCTAGGGGTCGTGAGAGGAGAGACCCATGGAGCGCGACTCGGACAGGGACTGAGCGCGCTCCGGGCAGGAAAAAAATTCGAATCAGTGGGCCCTAGGAACAGTTCCCACGAGGGAATCTTCTCTATACCATGTGAAAACTAGAACGAGAGAATGGATGAACTATGAAAGAGTTGGGTACAAGTACTAACCCTAATTGGGTTGTACCCCATATGGGCTACCCCTCTAAAGCCTACACAAAAGCACAAGCTATAATGTTCTGACATATGTTGTTGAAGAACTGCCTCGTGCAACTGCTTCCATTAAACCAGTAGCAGCTAATGTTGACTCTGTAGCTCCTGATATTGACTCTGTAGCTCCTCCGGCTGATTGGAGTGTAGGGTTAGACGGATTATCTCCCGCCATGGTTGGATAATGCTAGGATAGGAACGTAATAGGCTCGGCTGATCGAAACGACGGGCTCTGTTACCAACTTGTAAAACATAGTAGCTGTGACTACTGGAGGAATGGAAACTTGACTGGAAAGTTTTAGCAGGGCTGCTGGAATTGACTGGATGAGGTAAAACCTCATTATGCTCAAGATTATACAAGCCCACTAAGGCACAACTCTATGAGCATAACAAAAAAAGAGAGATATGTAGCTCAAACTAGACTGCTAGACAAAGCAACTTCCTTGGGAACTTGGGCACAATTCAGATTTCATGAACCTTGAGTGACTTGAGAGCCACATGAGGTGCATGAATAAGAAATCTCTGGAATGTTCTGTTATAGCTGATTCTATTTTTTAGAAACCTGTAGAAATTGTCGACACTTTTGTTTGAGAGCAATCCCGAACTGTATCGAGTCTTCGGCTGCAATCTGATTGGTTGCAGAAGTTTCTGAATATTTCGCGAAGCCTTGACTCCGTCGCCGACATTCCCCCCTTCCTGCTCCTTGTGTGCAAAGGGCTGGGGTGGCAGAAACTCGATTCTCCAACACTTAGCTCTAGGACTATGAAAGGCGACATGAACGACCTGCTCGAGGCGCCATAGCTAGTATCCTAGTATATTAGGATGTATCTCAGATTTGTGTGCCATCATATGAGCTTTGTAAAGCTATCTTGCTACTTTCTTTCTGAAATCTCTTGAGAGCGTTTCCTACTACTACTACTCTGCCAAAACAGCTTAGTGGCTGTTTCAGTTAGTGACCTGTTCATTCGTCCTTGTACCGTCCTGAATTTCGTACCTGTTTGTTCTACTAGCCTCATATTTTGAGTCTCATGTGCCTCATCTATAGTCGCTAAACCCCCGTGTGCAAATGGGCCGTCCATCTGTATCCACCCTCAATCCCCCATGCCCTGCTTGCCTCTTGTAATCCAGTATCTTGATTCTGCTACTGCCTTCTTCCCTCCCCAGCTGCTGCTCCACTATACCTATGCAGCTGCTTCCGCTAGTCCGCTCCCTTCCCCCCTTGCTGCTGCCACTTTTCCCCTCCCTTTCCCCCCTCCTACTGTCGCTATTACCTTCCCCCCATTTTCCCGCCTTCCCCTTCTGCCCCCCCCTGCTACAGCCTCTCTTCCCCACTCCCGCCCCCTCCTTTCCCACCCTTCTGCTACTGCACGGATCCCCGTCACCCATGTACTACTACTGTCTCCTGCGACTATTCAGCCCCTAATACTGCGCATGCACCCTCCCCCCTCTCCCCCCCACCCCTTTTCCCCCCTCCCCCTGCTACTACTGCCACCGCTCCCCTCCCCTCACCAGCTGCTGCCGCTCTTGCCCCGTTTGCCACACAGTCACGCCTTGCATTTGGCTGTCCCCATCAGCCATGCTCCTGCCTGCCTGTCGCCCTCCCCACTTGCCCTGCTCCTTACCCCCTCCCATCCCATCCCATTTACCGTGGCACTGCCCCCTTGCCAGACCTTTCTGTACAATACACTTGCTCTGCCACCTGCCCCCCTTCCTCCCCTGCTGCCCCTTTCCATCCCTATGCTCCTGCTGCACCTCAATGTGCAGGCGCTCGCCCCATCAGCCATGGCTAGGATGACTGTAGTGGCCGTGCTGTTGCCAGCTGGTGCCTTTCCTTCCCAGAGCTGCTATCTCTGCAGTCGCAGTCATCAGCATCATACATCAGGCAGAGATGCCTGGCATGCCACCACAGCAGAGGACGTGAGTCGTCAGTGCCATGGCACATGCAAAACCCGATTTGTTTTGCGTTGAGCTGACCCGATTTGGATGTAAGTCAAACAGAACCGAACCTGGTATGGGCTGAACCGTTTATGCCACTTTCTGTTCAAGTTTGAGTACAGCTGGTTTGGTCGCCGTTAGCGTTTTGAGTTAGACTGTGCGAGGTTCGACCTGATCTGGTTCAATTCCGGTCGAATGAGCCTTCATAATACTAGCATTTTTTTTCTATGTATATATTTGTTTGGGTTTGTTTTCTGCAATGTCTGAAAAGGGTTGTTCTATTGTGTTGTGTATTCTGTAACAACGTTAATGTAATGAGAGCCTCCCTAAATGTCCGACCTGTGCAGCCCTAGCGGTATCAAACCGAGAGTGCTTCAACGGCCCAAAAAAGAGTTGACTAAAATCTTTCGATGCACTTTGGGGAGGCCGCCTTGGACTGATTGTGCCCGTCGGACTTGAATGCAAGCCTATGGGAGTCAAACCAGACATGGTAAAAAATTGTCAACAATTGAGACACACTAACACCGCATGTATCTTGCACTTGCAAGCTCTTTGCATGCGATGAGCATATACCAGTGGTCTCCTTTCTTCCTTGTTTCCTCTTGCCGATTTAACGTGACACCACCAGCCAGCAAGTCAACCATCTTGTCATTCTCCCTCTCCTTCCCTCAATCTGTCCTCTGTCTTATTGACCTTATGAGTGTCTTCCTGACTTGACCATTATTGTCTTGTTGCTTCTGTACATGCTACTCTTAGCATGGATATAAGGAGGGTTGTTTCCCAATGAATCAGCTATTTATATTCTGTTGCATGTGTACCGCCATCATGTCTGCGTATGTGTGTGTATGTGTTTGGCCCTCTTCGTATGCATGCATGTGTTGTAAACCTCAGTCCACTGACGCCACATGCGGGCCTCCCACTAAAGCCCATACAAGTGCGGCCTCTGGTCAGCATGCCCGTACCCTCATCGTGCCGCCTCACTCGCTCCCCACCCTGGTGTGTGTACAAAAGAACCGAGGTCTCTGCACTTGCCACCTCGCTGCACGCAACGTATGTTTCTGTCATGGTCTGGTGTTCTGTTGTGCTGTAACCTGTCACCCTCTAATCGTATCTGTGTTTCACTCTTTCCTCCCTTGTTATCCCACGGCCACAGGCTTCAGTTTTTGTATTTTATTCTGCCACCGCCACTCTTGTAGTAGTGCTATGGTGGAAGGACGTGACCCACACGCAAGTCAGAGCATGGGTGCATCAGCAGGGCTTGGTTTGACGGCTGGGCTGATGGGGCTGAAGAGTGTAAGCAAGTGCTTCGTAGTACGCCATGTGCTCCGTCCCCCACCACTGCAGCTTTGCTGCTCAACAATCTTCTGAGCGCTTAATCCTCCATGCACTCACTTGTGTTTCTTATGCTACTGCATGTTCCTCTCTCGTTCCTTATCCTCCTCACTCCTAAAAAAAAAAACAGTATTTTGCAATCTTCAGTTATCTTCGCCAGTTCCCCCTTGTTCGCCACCATAGATCATTTGACTGTGTAAGCTTCTTGATGCCTAGAGCTGAGGTCTCTCGCTGCTCAGTCCCTCCCTTGCTCGAATTCTTCCAAGTCTCCACTAGCCATTACTCCCTTACCCTCCCCATCTTCTCATTTCCTTGCTCGTGCCACGCGCGCCCATGTGGTGCCATGCGTAGGAAGCATGTCAATTCTGTGATGCAGAAACTGGGTAAGGCTGTTAGGACTGTCAGAGTATGGTCGGAACACTCGAGCTGGGTGAGGCGATGAAGATAAGAATGAAGGCGCTTGGCATGCAACTGGAAGAGACTGAGAGGAGACTAGTGGCAGAGATGAGAGGGCAGGTGGAGGAGAGGGAGAGGGAATTGGCTGTAGTGAAGGGGGAGTTAGCTGCTCACAAGGATGATGTCATGATGATGAATGTTGACCTGAAAATCGTCCAGACTGAAGGCCATCAGGAGATTGCATGGCAGGTGAGTACTGAGTGAAGTGCTTCATGGGCTATGCATGGTTTGACAAGGTATGCATGGTTTCAGAGGCATGTATTGCTTCGCAGGGCATGGATTGCTTCGCAGGGCATGCATTGCTTCGCACGGCATGCATTGCTTCGCAGCGCATGCATTGCTTCGCAGCGCATGCATTGCTTTGCAGTGCATGCATTGCTTTGCAGGGCATGATCACTTGGTAGTTCTTTCTTGTCATTGTGAACATTCCTTTTGTTGTCATATTTCTCCTCTGAACCAATCCCCTCCAGTAATCAATGCAGCATCCCCAAAGCCCAAACTGGTTCTGAAGAATCTCAGTGGCCTCTCAGACGCCATGCTCGCCCATGTATCCATGTTGACCCATCTAACGAGCATCAGCTTAGAGTCTAGCTCAGGCTTCAGTGTAGAGGGCATCAAGCACCTCTACAGGCTGCCACGGCTGGAGACGCTAGACCTGGATTGGACAGTGCCTTGGAAGGCATTGGGTCCATGACCAGTCTCAAGCACCTCTATTTGCAAGTCACCAAAGTGACTAATGGTGGGCTGAGGCAGTTGACACGCCTTTCCTCTCTCAAGGTACTGTGGATTTCAGGATGCAAGGGAGTGACGGATGCTGGCATGGTTCATGTGGGGAGGTTGACAGAGCTGGAGAACCTTTTCCTGCGTGGCACCGCAGTCACGGATCATGTCTTGCAGTAGCTGACTGCTCTGACCAAGATGACATCTCTTTATACTCCCGAAAGGGTTCAGCTTATGAATGATGATGTGCGTAGACGGATAGGTAGGTTGGACTGATGATGAGAAGGGGTGACTGTGACTTCCTAGGGGTGACTGGGGAAAGGTGTGGAGGCGTGAAGAATGACGGGGGGCGTGCATGAGGAGGGGTGAGGCGTGGAATGGTGGTTGTGCACGGCTCAACTTGCATGCTGCAGAGAGTTGGAGAATGGTCATATGGAACTCATGGCGTCCAGGTGGAGAGAAGCAGGTGCACGGCTGGTTGGATACGAGACCAGGTCGCTAAGGGAAGGCTGACATCTTTCCTGCCTTCATAAGGGATTGAGTTCTCAATGAGGAATGTGTACAGGCAGATAGACAGATCTGGTGGCACGCATTGAAGCTGAAGGGGGATTAAGCGATAATGAGGAGAAGCTTGTACTGTAGACATGGACACTATTGATGAGAGTTTTTAGCTACTTGGTGGTTGGGCAAGCCTTTGGCTACCTGGTCAAGGAGAACACGATTGTGGTGTAGACGTGTGCCTTTTTTCATGCTTAACTAGTTACACTGTGTGTCAGCCTGTCTCCCTAACAACTTCTCAATGTTCCTATATCAATCAGACTCGTATACAAAGGCCATCTGGCATTGTAAGAAAACAGAATGCACTTGTACATTTAATTCATATCACAGAACAGCACGGTGGTAGTGGTTGGATTATGGGGCATGCATGAGTGTGCGATGGCTTGGTGGAGGGCAAATGGTTGGTTGGGCTGAGTAGCAACTTGGCAAGGCAAGGCATCATGCATAGGACGGAGGGTAGAGGTGAAGTAGAAGCATCCTGGTCTGCATGGGAAAGGGTAAAAGCTGCTGCATCACCCGTCCGTATGGCCCATTCGCTGACATACTAGAGATTGATCAACCTTTAAGTGTTTCTGCTTCTCAGTATGCAATGCAGACTGCTGGTCCTACTGTAGTGGTTATGCCTTGAAGAGATGGATTGGAGTGGAATGTTGGAGGCGTGCAGCAGGCTAAGAAGACTTGCATGTTAGAGGAGAGGAGATTATCTCAGTGTACCCTGTATTGGTGCTGCTCTCTACTGAAGGCGTTGTGTATCACCAACAGTCACCACAATGCAATCATGAATCCAGTACAGCAAGATCAGAAAAAGGTTATTGCAGGTGCATCCCCCCACCAGTCCACCCACTGAATGGGACCCCCACCCTTTTGGTTACAGCTGCTGACTTAGCTGCTGCTATTGTGTGGCACCAATAACATGTCCTGATCTTGAGGGGATTATGCAGGCAATGAGTGAAAAAGGGCAGGCACGGATGAAGGGCAGGCATGAGAAAAAGGCAAGGGCGGCGCGCTGAAGGAAGCGAAGTTATGTAAAAAATGCAGTGGTATGTACACTATTGGATGAGGTATGGGATGAGTTATGGGAAGAGGTATAGGAAGAGGTATGGGATGAGGTATGGGATGAATTAAGGTATGAAATTAGATGTGCATGCAGAGCTGTCTTCCTAATTTTTCCCCCAAACATATTTGCAAAAACAAAAGATTCTCCTATGATTTATAAAAGAAGAATTCCACCATAATTACCTTACCATACCATACGCACCTCATCTCCTGGCCCCACCAACCCCCTCCTCTCTCTCTCTCCCCCAACTCACCCCCCATCCCCTCACACACGATTCCCCTCCACACAATCCCTCCTTAAACTACATTCACCTAGCTGTCTGACTTGCTGCAGCAGCGCCACTCCACACCCCGGCTACTGATAACACATGGGAAGGTGGTAGTGAGAGATGTGGGGGAATGGGAAACACGGAAAGAGGGCAATGAGTGCAGCAAGATAAATAAGGCTGGGAAGAATTATGGGGTTTTTATCAAAAGAGGGATGGACAGGAAGAGTAGCATAACACGAGGAGAAAGTGGGGCATGAAGGAGGAAGAGAATGGAGAAGAGTGGGGATGTTGGAGATGCATGGGACATCTTGCTGCATTTCATTTGTTCAAGTTTTGTTCAAGTGTTGATGGGGTTGGGGGTGGGGGCGGGCGGTTTGCGGGGTGTCAAGTATACAGTCTAAAGTCCAATTTCATTTGAGGCGCAAGATAACTTTCCCGGCTGCTGCAATATCTAGCCTCTGCTTTCTTGTATGCTTTTCTTATTTCCGTATTCTATTTAGGCACCTCTTACTCAGATTGCCGAAGTACCAGTGTGATGGCATGAAATGGCATGGAACTTCAAATATGTGCAAGCCGAAGTAAGTTTGGAAAGCAGAGTAATACATGGACTCATGTATGCCAGGTCACGTGGTGTGTGCAGGAGGGTGAGTGGGGCGCGGAGGGTGGGATTGACAAAGAGCAGATTGTCCTGGTGAAGTTGATTTGGGAGGGGAAAAAAAGGTTGCATGAAGGTGCGATGGTTAAAGTGGGTTGAGTGGAGAAGTTAGGGGAAGAGAGAGATGAGGGAGAAAAGGGGATATGGCAGGGAGGGAGTGGTAGAGGGGATATTTGCAGAAAATGGAAAGGCTGAGGGAGGTTGGATAAGAAGGGTGGAGGGAGGGGACGAGAATGGGGAAGGGGAGGAAGGAAACAGAGGAGGGTGGGTGGGGGCTGAAAACAAACATGTGATGCCTGTTATGATCACGCAGAAGGGTGGCCAGTTCCTTTGCCTACTCCCCACTTTCCATGCTGGTGCCATGCCATAACCACTATTTCAGCTTCACGTTCCTTGTATGGGTGTGAAAGCTCTCATTCTCCCATGGTGCTCCCATGCATCCATGCCCCCATGCCTCCATGTTCTCATTTTCCGATGCCTCACTGCTCCCATCCTCCCATGCTCCCATGCACCCATGCTCCTTGCTCCTGCCATCAGTGGCCGATGGAAGGGATGAACGGAAAGGAACAGTGGCCCAGGGGAAACATAATTTGAATCGCAGTTTAGGGTCATTGCAAAGGAATAACGGCAGATTGAACGATTACTTACGCCAGCAATATTCTCGCTTTAGGCGGAGCACAGGGCTGCACTTTCTGAGGAAGGAAGTAGAGGTGTGCCTTAGGCGGGTGTGACAGGAAGGGAGGGGCGAGGGTAGCGGAGGTGGCGGGGAAGAGGGAAGGGTAGGGGCGAAAGAAGCATAGGGGTGGGAGGGTGGGTGCTGCTGCTGCGACAACTTTTTGTGCAGCAGTCATACCAGTTAGCTGCCAGCCACGTCTATTGGAGGAGTTTCAGCAGTAGCAGGTGGAGGAGCAATGGAGGCGGTCTGGGGGTGAGGAGAGATGGTGCCAGGGAGGCTTGTAGAAGTATCTTCCAGCTCAGCTGCTCCTGCTACTTCTGCTCCCCATGCCCTGTTGTCCGCCCCCATGGTCCGTCCTTCCCCCATCCACTGGCGCCAATACTGCTGGTGCTGCTGCAGCAGATGCGAAGGGCTCAGGTAAGGAAGTTGGTGAAGGGTAAGAAAGGGAAGACGTTTGAGCTGAATGTGGGTGTGATAGGTTGAAGGGACGAGTGTGGATGGTTGATGTGAGGTGAGTGGAGCACTTGGAAATGGGAAGTGGAACGACGAGAGTGAAATGGGGATGGCAGGGAGGGAGTGGTAGAATAGTTATGGAATTCTCAGGGATGGGAATGAGAAGGACAGAGAGATGTTGGAGTGGAGAGAGGGAAAAGAGTGGGGAAGGGGAGGAAGAAAAGGGTAGGGGACGTGGGGGTGAAAGAATTGATGCGACACCTGTTATGACCAACAGAAGGGCGGTTGGTTCTCATACACCCATGCTCCTACACACCATGCTTCCATACTCCTTGCTCCCATGCTTACATGCACGCGGGGAAGGGGGGATGGGGCGAATGGCCGTAGGGGGGGGAATTTGGGGGGGTGGCACTTCTTGTGGGCGAGCGCCATTGCGAGGTTCACTGCAGGTGGGGGGAAGGCGGGATTAAGGGAAGGGGGAAAGGGGGGGAGGAAGAGAGACGCGAATGGACGGAGGCAGAGGTGAGCAGCCCCACATGCGGGCAAGGACGAGCGCTGCTGCGCAGTGCACTGCAGTGCATGGGGTGGGAGTAATTTGGGATGGGGAGAAGGGAGAATGGAAGGAATGGGGGATTCATGGATGAGCGCCATTGCGAGGTTCACTGCGGCGGTGGGCCGACTACTGGACGGGAGGGTGGGGGAAAAGGGGGATGCGGTGGATGGGGAGAAAAGTGGAAAAGCATGGGGAGGTTGCGGGAATGGGGGGAGGAGAGATCTATGACTGGAAGGAGGGAGGGGTGAGCAGCGCGCGTGAGTAAGCCCGTGTACTCTCAATGAAGGGAAGGAATAAGGGAAATAACAAGGGTAGGGGGATGGGGTTAGGGGGATCCAGAGGGGGAAGCGGAAAGAACAGGAGGAAGTGGCGAGGGGCACGGCGCTGATACACTGAGGCAGTGAGGCGGAGAGGCGGAGAGGCGGAGTTGTGGAGAGGCGAAGAGGCACACCGGCAGTGGTGGACTTGCCGATGCAGCCTTTTGCAGATGCCACAGCCGCGATGTGCTTCATCGCTGCCAGCGACAGGCTGTCGCGGCCACCACCTTTGCTGCCACTGCCACTTGTATCATTGCTGGCGCTGCTATGTGGAGTCCCACCAGTGCTGGCGAGCGTGCTGCTGCACATCATATTGCAGCGGAAGGCGCCTTTGCTGCATATACGCACACCAGTGTTGCTGTCTAGCATGCTGCTGCATGTTACGTTACCGCGAGGGAAGGCAGGGGAATGAAACCGGTCCAGCTTGGGACCGGCGTGCGCGTGAGATTCGGGGGAAGGTGACGGAGAGCCAGGCATGGGGCGTATCCCTGTTGGAGGCAGTGTGTCTCGTTGGACAAGGAGATGGTCATCGATGGTCTGTGAAGGTTGGGAGACGAGCGAGGTGAGCGAGGAAGGCGGTGGTGTCCATGCTCAGATGCTCATGGCAGACATTTGGGAAGCACGAGACGGCAGCTGTGGTCTGGGAGCGAAATGACGAGGCTCCATGATGGCATGGAGACCTGTCGGCAAGCCAGGCAACGTCAGCGCGAGCACATGGAGTCGATGAGGGGATTTGTAGGTGGGGTTTGTGAGAGCGGAAGGAGTTGACAACGAGTTACTAGCAATGGGTGTGCTATCGTTCCGCTGCAGCGACAATCGTCGCAAGTAGCCGTACAGAGCTCTTTGCCACACGGGTTTTTGGGGTTTCCATCGGAAAAAAGCCGGGAGTGTGTTGTGCTGGTTTGGTGAGGTTTTGGTTGAGTAAGGTCCTTTCCAACTGCTTACCATTTGTGCCGTAAATCATAGATGGTTTGTTACGAATCATACCCTAGATCGGATGTGCGGTCGATCGGGGGTGTTGGTCTGTATCCACGCGTCACTGTATTGATTGGTTTCGACCGTACCCATTCTGTTGCAGATGTGTTGCTATTTGCAGGCAATCCCAGAAACACGTGGAAACCATCCTTCAACATCGTGTATGCGTACAAGTGGATGTTGGACTAGCTGGAAATGCCAGGTCGTGTTGATTTATCCAGCAAATGCGTCTATCCCCGCCAGTAAATTTTCTTGCTGGTGATCAGGTTACGCTTGTTAGCGATGAGTTCACGAATGCTACAATCGAAGTAACCGGGACGTAAAGTGGTGTCAAGCACACTACATATCGGGATATTTCCCAGATAACAGTAGCAGAACACCTTGCTCAATTTGTTTTCTGCGCTTACAACGCAGAACATTAACGGCTGGTTTCTCGTTGTTTTTTTTTTTTTTTTTAGACGCTATTTTCCGAATGGACACTGTCAATAATTTTGATATATACACCTTACTTTTAGTATTGGCCTACACGTATACACATCAACATTGTCACGCGTTTTTGCTACTGTTACATTTTTTGACATTAATAATTCGCAGTAGTGTTTACTGTAGATTTGATTTCGTTTTAAATAATAACCAGTTAGGAATTGGGAACAAAGCATGTCAAAGCTTCTCTACTGTGCTCAATGAGCCAAGTCACAGGAGGCAATCCGTTGGGAAAAATGAGAGACTCATATCCCTCAATGAGAATCTTCAGATTAGGTGACATCCTGAAGCCAGCAGGAGCCACGGGATCCCAAATAGCATGGTCCCCGTTGTCATAGGTCTCCTTGATCCACTGCACCACGTGTGAGATCTTCAGATCCACATTCTGCTGGTTGACCGTCTCCAAGGTGTCCAGGGAGGGGTTAGCACAATTTCTGGCATTTGCCAAGGGCCATTCCACCTGCCAATACACCACTGAATATTAGTCCATGGATATGGGGCAATATAGGCACCACAAAGGGAGAGACACTTACCACGTTGCAAGCATATCCCATCGCTGGGATCTTAACCATGATGGTCGTCGCCTTCTTGCTACCAAAACCGCGCAGCAGCACGAGTTCGAAGGTTCGGTTGGCGAATGGCTGGCCGAGCACAGCGCAGAAATGCCACTTCGATCCAAATCGCACTGCGTACAACAAGCAAACAACACTGTGGAAAAATGATCGACGTTTCCGTGAACGATAAATTTGGCACACGTTATTATCATTCTAACAAGAAGTTACCATGTAGAAAGAAGAGGGTCCACTCTGCAAGCGTTCGGCTTGTAGTGGGAGCCACGCCCTCCTCCGCGAGCTCCTTCCACTTGCTCTCAGCCACACATCCTCCCGGACCGCGACCAAAAACCTTGATGTCACAGTTGTAGTTGCTGCGCTTTTCCGACACCTTGCGCATGGCAATGTTCTCCTTTGCAGGGAAGTTGCAGATCACGTAGTAAAACATATCCCTCGAGACGCCATCTTTAGCGTACTTCTCTGCCATCATCTCGCCCAAGTCGGGCCACGACGGATAGAAGAGAATCTTCCAAGTCGGTGCTGTTGTCGTCATGAAGGTGAAGGCCTCTAGGGCCTTTTTCTGAAACAGGGGCATACGTTTGGGGTATGTGTAAGATAAATGGTGAGCATGGACAAAGCAACATCGTAAACACACAATGCTTAGAAATCCGATAGGAAAGTGCAACATCGAAGCCCACAAATTTCCAGTGTATAGGCGCATACCCCACACGGATGGTCTTGGTATAGCGTGGCCGGGATGATGACGACGTTGTTGTGGTCCCGTGGGAGCATCTGCAGGTCGTAGGTCGGCATGATGACAGTGTTGACAACAGCGCCATGAGTGTTGGCGGTGTTTGCAATCTGCTGGCGCAGAGCAAGGATCAACGCTTCTTGCTCCTCGAAGCGCAGGGATAGAGATGCATACGCCACCTCCTTCTCGTCGAGCGCGATCTGAACGTCCAGAGCCCACTCCTGCGTTTCTTTCAATGTCGTCTGAAGGTCATTGATCTCTGAGCGAAGACGCACGACTTCTTGGAATCCTACTGAAGGGGTGGCTGTTGAAGGGTTAGCACGGGAAACAACAGAAAAAGAAGTCGAAGCTTAACATACTACCATACTCAGAATGCAAGAAACAATAGGGAAAGCAGGGGGACTGTCAAGGGAGAGGGGGGTGGCAAGTTAATCACATTAAGCAGGGGGACTGTGAAGGGAGAGGGGGGTTGCAAGTTAATCACATTAAGCAGGGGGACTGTCAAGGGAGAGGGGGGTTGCAAGTTAATCACATTAAGCAGGGGGACTGTCAAGGGAGAGGGGGGTTGCAAGTTGACGCAATTGCCAATTATGCGAATCAACGGTTCCTCTCGTACTAAGTTGAATTGCTGCCGCGGAACCGGTGCATCAGTAGGGTAAAACTAACCTGTCTCACGACGGTCTAAACCCAGCTCACGTTCCCTATTGGTGGGTGAACAATCCAACACTTGGTGAATACTGCTTCACAATGATAGGAAGAGCCGACATCGAAGGATCAAAAAGCAACGTCGCTATGAACGCTTGGCTGCCACAAGCCAATTATCCCTGTGGTAACTTTTTTGACACCTCTACCTTCAAGCTCCGAAGAGCTAAAGGATCGATAGGCCCCGCTTTCACGGCTTGTATTCGTACTGAAAATCAAAGTCAAGCGAGCTTTGCCCTTTTGATCCACACGAGATTTCTGTTCTCATTGAGCTCGCCTTAGGACACCCACGTTATCGTTTAACGGATGTGCCGCCCCAGCCAAACTCCCCACCTGACAATGTCATCCGCCTGGATCGGCCGAAGCCTTAAGGCAAGAATCAGGGGCAATGCCCCGCCTCCACCTCACGGATTAAGTAAAATAACGTCAAGAGTAGTGGTATTTCACCGGTTAAGTGAGGAGGAGGGACTATATGAGGAGAAGCTGCTGGCAGGTTAAGCTGCTAGCTCAAAGGCGGCTGCTTCCTGGAACCTTCCTCAGTCCTCCAACTCCCCCTTCCACACTCCTTGACAACCCTAGCACCTCTCCCCCAGCTCCCCCACACCCTCACACCCACCCCCCCAAGCGGCAGCTGCAGCAGTGGGAGAGAAAGGAGGAGGAGGGGAAGGGGATCACACACACCCATCACCACCATACCTGCCACCCCATAGCCTCCGTGCCACGGCTGCACGCGCAGCAAGGAGACGAAGAAGGGGGGAGGGGGGGGGGGGGGGGGCAGGGGCGACAGAGCAGAACAAAGCGCACAAGGGCGCGAGCAGCAGCAGGGCGCACGAGGGCGCGGGCAGCAGCAGAGCGCACGAGGGCGCAGGCAGAGCAGAGCGCACAAGGGCGCGGGCAGCAGCAGGGCGCACGAGGGCGCGGGCAGCAGCAGAGCGCACGAGGGCGCAGGCAGAGCAGAGCGCAAAAGGGCGCGGGCAGCAGCAGGGCGCACGAGGGCGCGGGCAGCACCAGAGCGCACGAGGGCGCAGGCAAAGGCACGAGCAGCAACGGGCGGCAACAGGCAGCACAGGAACGGGCAGCAACGGGCGGCAACGGGCAGCGCATGCACGGGCAGCAACGGGCGGCAACGGGCGGCACAGGCACGGGCAGCAACGGGCGGCAACAGGCAGCACAGGCACGGGCAGCAACAGGTGGCAACAGGCAGCACAGGCACTGGCAGCAACGGGCAGCACAGGCACGGGCAGCAACGGGCGGCAACGGGCAGCACAGGCACGGGCAGCAAAGGGCGGCAACAGGCAGCACAGGCACGGGCAGCAACAGGCAGCAACAGGCGGCAACGGGCAGCACAGGCATGGGCAGCAACGGGCGGCAACGGGCAGCAACGGGCGGCAACGGGCAGCACAGGCACGGGCAGCAACGGGCGGCAACGGGCAGCACAGGCACGGGCAGCAACGGGCGGCAACAGGCGGCACAGGCACGGGCAGCAATGGGCGGCAACGGGCGGCACAGGCACGGGCAGCAACGGGCGGCAACAGGCAGCACAGGCACGGGCAGCAACGGGCGGCAACAGGCAGCACAGGCACTGGCAGCAACGGGCGGCAACAGGCAGCACAGGCACAGGCAGCAGCAGGCAGCAACAGGCGGCAACGGGCAGCACAGGCACGGGCAGCCATACCGAGACCAGGAGCGGCGGTGCATACAGCTGTGGGGTCGGCGCCGTGGGCTGCTCCTGGGGCGGCTGCTCCAGGCGCTGCTGCTGCTGGGGCGGCCGCTGCAGTGGCGGCGGCTCCACGGGCTGCTGCTGCTGGGGCGGCTGCTCCAGGCGCTGCTGCTGCTGGGGCGGCTGCTCCAGAGGCTGCTGCTGCTGGGGCGGCTGCTCCAGGCGCTGCTGCTGATGGGGCGGCTGCTCCAGACGCTGCTGCTGCTGGGGCGGCCGCTGCAGTGGTGGCAGCTCCAAAGGCTGCTGCTATTTGGGCGGCGGCTCCAGGGGCTGCTGCGCTTGGGGCGGCTGCTCTAAGCGCTGCTACTGCTGGGGCGGCGGCTCTAGAGGCTGCTGCTGCTGGGGCGGCTGCTCCAGGCGCTGCTGCTGATGGGGCGGCTGCTCCAGACGCTGCTGCTGCTGGGGCGGCCGCTGTAGTGGCGGCAGCTCCAGAGGCTGCTGCTGTTTGGGCGGCGGCTCCAGAGGCTGCTGCTGCTGGGGCGGCCGCTGCAGTGGCGGCAGCTCCAGAGGCTGCTGCTGTTTGGGCGGCGGCTCCAGAGGCTGCTGCTGCTGGGGCGGCTGCTCCAGGCGCTGGTGCTGAGGTCCAGGGGCGGCGCTGGTGCAAGGTAGGCCCAGGCTCGGCTGCAACGCTGGCGCGGGCGCGGGTGAGGCAGAGGCGGTGGCCAGGGGGGAGGCGAGGAGCAGAGACGGCGCCCAAGGAGTGCCGCTACGAGCACGGGCGACGCCCCAGGGGCGCCGCGACGAGTAGGGGCGGCGTCCAGGGGGCGCCGCGACAAGCAGTGGCGTCGCGACGAGCAAGGCGACGCCTTGCGGGTCCTGCAGGAGCGTCGCGACGAGCAGGAGTGGTGATGCCCGGGTCCCGCAGGTGCGCCGCGACGAGCAGGAGCGGCGCCTCGCAGGGCGCCGCAAAGTGGAGGGTACGGGCGGGCAAATCAGGCCCGCCCGTGGACGTGAGGCAGGCGCGCAGGCGGCGTGAGGGCAGGCCACGCGCGGGGCAGGAAGACGCCGCGCGCCCAGGGCGCACGGCAGGCAGAAGCCCGCCGTGCGCCCCGAGCACACGGCGGGCAGAAAATCGCCGTGCGCAATACGCCGCGCGCGCGAGGCGCACGACAAGACGATAGGCAGCGGAAGCAGGAAAGCAGTAGGAACGTACCTGCTCTGAATACCATGTTAATATACTAGGCATAGGTTGGCTTAGGAGCCATAGTTAAGGAGGTTCTTAGTAGTTCGAGTTTTAGGGTTGAGGAGAATGTCGTGAAAGTTGAGAAAGGGAAAATGGGGGCTTCACTATAGGTTTGCAAGAACATATAGCAAAGTAAGAAAGAAGGTGCACCACCACACTAAGTTTATAATAACTACACTAACTACAGCTACAAGCAGTTACAGATATATTCTGACACGGTTTCCCTCCCACTTATGCTACACCTCGTGAGTCATTTCACAATGTCAGACTAGAGTCAAGCTCAACAGGGTCTTCTTTCCCCGCTGATTTTTCCAAGCCCGTTCCCTTGGCTGTGGTTTCGCTGGATAGTGGGTAGGGACAGTGGGAATCCCGTTAATCCATTCATGCGCGTCACTAATTAGATGACGAGGCATTTGGCTACCTTAAATCGGTAAAGATTATAAAGACAAATGGATAAAAGAAAAATGACGTACCTGTTCGTGCGCGAGAAAGAACAGTCAGGCCGTGGGTGTTAACACGCTCATCTGTGCCTGTCGTACCCTCTACAGCATCCGCCAGGGCCCCTGTGAGATCGAGCGGTGCGCCTGTTGCGGTCTTCTGAAGTGAGGAAGTTCCGCCAACGACTGGCACGGGAGGCTCTGGTTGAGCTACTGCATGGTCGGAGTCGAGAGCTGACATGTTACCCCTCTTGGGTTTCTTCTTCACTACTTCTTTGGAAAGCATACTATCCGCCTCCATAAAAGACATGAACGCCTGCATCCTCGCCAAAACATCACCATTGTCGTTTTTCGTCGCAGGCTCGTCCTCGTCCACCCGTAAACCAACATCATCCAGCGTAACGACGTCCTCACTGTTTTCTGGGGCCAGTGCTCGTTTCCCACCACACGAAGTCCCCTGCGCACAAGACATCTTGGTATGTCTGCGACCTGCACTTGTCGCAAGCGATGTAAAAGTGCTGATTTATGGCACCATCTGTCCGATCGATGCACATGTGCGAGATCATATAGTCTCGTTCCTTTGAAATTTAGCTCAGAGTGACAATATGCGCGGTTGTCCCGGAGTTTAACTGGGTATATTCGCGGGGCATAGAAACTTACATGCAGTTTGGGAATTAGTCTTCACCAAAATAGCGCGCAGCCACAACATGTATTGACTCGATTCGACACTAATTCTAGAATTTTGCTCGGCATTCGAGTTTGGGTAACCACTGTCTAACCTCGTCAAAATCATTTGCGCCTACAACATTGTGATAATTACATTTCCGTTTGGTGATAACCCCGGCATACAGTCTGCAGCGGTTTCCCATACAGATTCATGAGCAGTTACAACTGGCAGATAACATTGACATGGGATTGGCTGCAGCAGAGCAGGTTTCGGAAGGTCAGCATCGTGAAGGTGCGACGCGGTACGACGTGAGGTCGAATCGTGTTTTGCCAGTGGCGCACAGTTTTCTCAGAATCCCAACCACTAGACCATTGGGATAAAAGGGCTTGTTTCAGTAGCGGGTCAGTGCGCCCATAACCCCCCAGGCAATCGTGCCTGTAACCCTTCCCTAGGATCGATCGGGGATCACCAGTGGACCTCTGACACCCCCCCGCACTGGGATGCCCGAAGTGCATACACCGGGATTCGAACCCGAGACCTTCGCTCTGGATACCATCTCAGAATCCCAACCACTAGACCATTGGGATAAAAGGGCTTGTTTCAGTAGCGGGTCAGTGCGCCCATAACCCCCCAGGCAATCGTGCCTGTAACCCTTCCCTAGGATCGATCGGGGATCACCAGTGGACCTCTGACAAGTTTTCCTTTCAAAATATGAATTACAAGCAAAGTAATGAATTCCTGCCCGTGGTGTCTCGTAATTCTAAAACACCTTGAAATACGGCATTAAGTGTTTTATCCTATGATCTATTTGAGTTAACAGTTTTTTATGAAAATGTTTTAGGCAGCTTTTTCCGTCAGAATATCATTGGTGCCAATGGCTGACATTTTCATTCATTTTCGTCAGCCATAGCGACGTCACAGACAAGCACGGTTTGGGTGGCATCATCACTGTACCACGACAAGCTTCGCTTGTTTTACCACCCAATGCGGTGGAATATTCCAATCGAGTATATTTCTTATACAGTACGATTTTCATGCCTAACAGGTACGTTTGCTTCCTTTGAGGAAAGTTGTTGACATTATAATTTTGTATTTACACCTTGTTTCCACATGTAGTATGTCAGAACATATAGCTTACCTGTTTGTGTAGGCTACAGTGGGGTATCCCATAAGGGGTACAACACAATTAGGTTTCCTATTTGTACTCATTCTTGACTTAGTCAATTCATTCCTCTTCTCACTGTTTCACATGGTATAGAGCTAGGTCCCTCCAGAACCGATTTTTTGGGCCCACCGAAGCGCGCCCAGAGGCGCGAATTTTTTTAGCGACCCCTCGAGTCGCCCTCTCCCCTGCGGCCTCCCCGCCACTCTGTCGCGGCCCCGCCCTGACCCTTACGCGGCCACGCCGCCTGCTCCTTACGCGGCCCCGCCCCCGGCCCTTACGCGGCCCCGCGCCGGCTCCTACGCGGCCCTTACGCGACCCCGCGCCGGCCCCTTACGCGGCCCTTACGCGGCCACGCCGCCGGCTCTCACGCGGCCCCGCAGCTGGCTTCTACGAGGCCCCGTCCCGGCTCCTACGCGGCCCCGTCCCCGGCTCCTACTCGGCCCCGCGCCTGCCCTTACGCGGCCTCGCCGCCGGCTCCATCGCGGCCCTGCCCCGGCTTCTACGCGGCCCCGTCCCCAGCCCCTTACGCGGCCCCGCCGCAGGCTCCTACGCGGCCCCGCCGCCGGCTCCTACTCGGCCCCGCGCCGGCCCTTACGCGGCCTCGCCGCCGGCTCCATCGCGGCCCCGCCCCTGCTCCGACGCGGCCCTGCCGCCGACTTCTACTCGGCCCTGCGCCGGCCCCTACGCGGCTCGGCCGCCGACTCCAACGCGGCCCTGCGCCGGCTCCTACGCGGCCCTGCAGCCGGCTCCAACCCGGCCCTGCCCCGGCTCCTACGCCGGCCCTAACGCGGCCCCGCCCTGGTTCTCTCACGCGACCCCGCCGCCTCACCTGCACCCGAGCCGCCGGTAGCCGAGCCGCCCTGCACCCGAGCCGCCCTGCAGCCGAGCCGCCCGGGAGCCGAGCCGCCCTGCACCCGAGCCGCCCTGCCGCCGAGCCGCCCGGGAGCCGAGCCGCTGTACACACGAGCCGCCCGGTCGCCGTTCTGCTTGTCTGTCGAGCTGCACGGCCTGCCCTGCCTGGTGAGCACAGTCCGTCTGTCACTGCGCCCTCTTTCCCTACTGCTTGCACTGCTTCACTGTAGTCGTCATGGCCACCCCTAGTGTCCTAGCCTTTGACGCCGAGGGTCGCGCCATTGATTTTGAGGTCTGGCTGGACGACCTGCAGCTTTTCTTACAGTGCGACAGAGCTGACAGCCTTTCTCTCTTTGACCTCACCTCTGGCGCCTCTCCTGCTCCTGCTGCCGATGCTGATCCCACTGTCCGCTCTCAGTGGGCCACCCGCGATGCTGCTGCACGTCTTGCTGTGCGTCGCCACCTCCCTACCTCTGAGCGTGCACACTTTAGTCAGTACAAGAGTGCTCAGACCTTGTACGACGCTGTAGTTGCGCGCTACTCCTCCCCTGCCACTGCTGCACTGAGCCGTCTCATGCTTCCCTACCTCTTTCCTGACCTCTCTGCCTTTCCCACTGTCGCTGACCTCATTACGCACCTCCGCACTAGTGACACTCGCTACCGCGCCGCCCTTCCTGCTGAGTTCTGCGCTAAGAACCCCCCCCCCCATGTACATCACTCTCTACTACGTAGTCGCGCGCCTCCCTGACTCCCTCCGTGTAGTCAGGGACCACTTTCTCGCAGTCTGTCCCACCACTCTCACCGTCGACCTCCTCGAGAAGGCCCTCCTCGCAGCGGAGAAGAGCATAGTCGCTGTAGGTGCCTCTCGTGGTGACCCTCGCACCCCCATCTTTGAGGGGTGCTCTCCTTCCCCCTTGCTGCCCTCTGTTGCCTCTGCTGCTGCGGCCGACCTGCTTGGTCTTGAGTCGGTCGGCGCGGCGTCCGCCCCTAGTGGGAGACGTCGCTCTAGCAAGGGCAAGGGGGGCAAGGGCACGGGCGGAGCTGGAGGGGGCGGTGGCGGTGGCGGCGGAGGCGGCGGAGGGAGTGGGGGTGGCGGCGGGAGTAGTGGTGGTGGTGGTGGTGGTGGTGGCAGCAGCGGCGGAGACGGTGGTGGTGGTGGCAGCGGTGGTGGTGGAGGCAGCGGCGGGGGAGGAGGCGGTGGAGGTGGAGGCGGTGGAGGCGCCGGCGGTGGAGGCGGTAGTGGTGGAGGAGGTGGAGCTAGTCGTGGGGGTACCCAGCAGCGGAGCGGCGGTGGTGGTGCCCAGCGCTCGCAGCGGCAGCAGCAGCAGCGTTCGCGGGACATCCCTCCGCCTCAGCAGCTTCGTGAGTGGTACACTGCGCGTCAGAGGGGTGGGGGTACTGGTCCCTGCGCCTACGTTCTTCGCTCCGGCGACCGCGCGGGTGAGCAGTGTGGGGGTGCCCACTCCACCCAGCGCTGCTTTGGCCGCCTGACGGACGCTTGGCGTCAGCAGTTCCCCGGGGCTAGTGAGATCCCTCGCTGGGATGAGCTCCTTAGGGCTGGTGTAGCGATCTTTGATCTTGATTTTGATGCTATCCTTTCTGCTATGTATGCTGTGACTTATAGTGAGGAGAATGAGGGTTACCGGTGTTTCCAGCCCGACCCGGGCATTGGTACTGCTGCGCTAGGTACTTGTGAGGCTGCTGCTCTAGGTGCCAGTGAGTCTGCGCTCTCAGGTACTAGTGAGACTGCGCTCTCAGGTGCTGGTGAGACTGCGCTCTCAGGTACTGCGTCGCCCTCGTCCTCCCTCACTTTCACACTTGACTCTGGGGCTTCTCGCTCCTTCTTTCGAGACCGCACTACCCTTACGCCTCTTGGCCGGCCGGTTGCGGTCTCCCTTGCTGACCCCTCTGGGGGTCCTGTCCTGTCTCACTTCTCCACTGTCCTCCCGTGTCCGGCTGCCCCTTCGGGCACCCTGTCTGGTCTGTACCTTCCCTCGTTCTCTACGAACTTGGTGAGTGGTGCGGACCTACAGGATGCGGGGGTTCACCAGTTCACTCCTGCGAGGCGACGGGTGACCCACTGCACGGACGCAGACACAGGCCGACACCTGGCCACCTTTTCGCGTCGGCCGGGGTCGAGTCTCTACACCCTGACCACTTCGTCTCCTCCTGTCCCTGCGTCTGGTCGGGTCGCTGCGTCAGGTCAGGTGTTTGCTGCTGCTTCCCGGTCAGGTCCTGAGTCTGCCCCCTGTTCTTGTCGCCTCCTGTCTCACGAGACTCTCCTGTGGCACCACCGTCTTGGCCACCCCTCCTTGCCCCGTCTTCGGAGCATGGCTTCCCGTGTCCTTGTCTCTGGTCTTCCCCAGTCTCTCCCTCCTCTCCCCTCCGGGCCAGGACCTTCCTGTGTCCCCTGTGTCGAGGGTCGCCTCCGGGCTACTCCTCACTCCTCCCACTTCCCCCCGACAGAGGCTCCCCTGCAGACGCTTCACATGGATGTGTGGGGCCCAGCCCCCGTCCGTGGGCAGGGTTACGAGCGCTACTTCCTGTTGGTGGTTGACGACTACTCGCGTTACACCACAGTCCTCCCCTTGCGCAGCAAGGGTGCGGTCACTGAGGT